GGAGTCAACGAGAGAAGCTACTCCTGCGGCGCTGCACCTGCGTCGGTGCGCGCTGCGGTGCGATCTTGCGCTGCGGCCCTGCGCCGGTGCGCCTGCGCCGGAGCGCTGCAGAGTGCAGAGAGAGTGAGAGAGTGGAGTGCGGAACTGCGAACAAAGAGAGGAAATGCGTCTGCAGGCTTGGATTTAGGGTTTAGGTATTGAGATTTGAGGGATTTTAGTGAATGGGTCGGGTATGGATTAAAAATTATAGTGTTATTAGTAATATGGTCAGTTTGGACGGTCCGGGTTGAAAAGTTTCCAACCCGATTCGAATCGACCTACAAACAAAACTGACCCAAATTGCTAATTTTCGATCGGTTCGGTCGGTTTTTTCGGTCTGGACCGAACCATGCACAATCCTACTTGGAAGAATAAGATAGGTCCAACTTCTTATTTCAAATCATTACTTGTAGGAATAAGACCGAAACTTGGTCTTCACCACGATTCCTTCTTTTGTTCAACCCAATTAGATTATGGTCTTATGGCAAGATTCATGCAGTCATTTGAGGTTATCAAATTGGTTCTTTCTGATCTTTTGCTCATCAAGCAGCACATGATTCTTGATATAGAATGTTAGAATATGAAAATATAACCCTCAATCTTCACAACTAGAGTTTTGGTGTAGTGGCAGTGATGAGACTTTAAGACGGTATCTAAGCATCAAAGTTTGAATCTCACTAGCCATAAATTTAATGTGGATTTTAAATTTTTTTTATACCACTATGTAAGTGTAGGTTTCGGCCCACAAAAAGTGCCCTCAACCTATAGGAGTATGTTAAAATATAAAATTATAACCCTTGACTAGCACCACAACTTCGTAGTTCTATGTGGTGTACGTCGGGGGGGGACCACGAGATGTGTGGCCACGAGACACATCTCCCCACACGTTCTCTTTTGTACGCATGGGAAGTGGGGGCCACGATGTGATCATAAGTTGTTTAACAAATCAAAACCGCGTGAAGAGGACAGTCAAAGGCCACGTGAAGGGATTGGAACCCACGTTCCGAGTGAAGACTTTGCAGCCCACGATCCGAAAACCTATTTGTACATATATATAGCTCTTTTAATCGTTCCTAGGGATTTGGGGGGAGCAAGTACAGTGCAAATTAGGGGGTTGCGGCTGTGAGCAGGTGCAGGGAGTCTTTTGGCGGCTACGGAGAAAAAGCAAAGCAGAAGGCTAGGTGATTCTTTGGGGCTACGTGCAAGGGTTTGTGGTGTGCGGCTGAAGAAAGAAAAAGAGCTTTTGTTTTGCTGTTTTGAGAGAGCATTTGTGTGAGGGATTTGAGAGTTTGTTTGAGGGTTTAGATTGAGTGATTATAAACACTAGTTGTGTTCTCTCCCTCTAATAGTAGATATTCAGCCTCATTGCCCCATGGACGTAGGTAGTTTGCCGAACCACGTAAAACTTGTGTGATTTGCTGTTTGTGGTCATTGTAATAGTTTTTAGGATCCCTCGACAAGTCAGTCCTAGAACTGATGAGAGGAAGAGCCGATATCTCACTTTGTTGAGATATTCGCTTCAGATTCTTGTTTCCTTGGTGAGATAGGAATTCTTATTGATCTTTCTCTCTTATTGTGCATCAGAAACTCTGTCGAAATTTTCGCTGCGCACAACATTCTAGTATAGTGGCAGGGACTCTAAGATGGTATCAAAGTAATCTAGGTTCAACTTTAAGATGGTATCAGAGTAACACATGTTCAAATCCCATTAGCTATGAATTTAAAGCAGTTTTTCCAAAAATTGACACCACTACGCGAGTCCAGGTTTCTTGGAATGACGATGGTGAAGGAAAAATATAATGGTGACGGTAGAAGTCGTGAGGAAAAAGACCAGATAAGGATCTTAAAATGATTATACAAACTCAAAAATTATATAGTATAGCTGTATACCTATCTATTTCTGTGACTAATTAAGGATTTCATCAATATTCATATCAACATCTGATTGAGGTAGCGATGAGGATCGGATCAGATGTATATCTGTACTAGTTTGCATCCCCCTCTCGTATATCTGAACTTCTATATCACCCATGTTATGGCCATAAGCTTAGATATTCGGGGACTAAGATCAAAATGGATTGAGATCAATTTGTTTTACTCTGAACTGAACTACTTAAAGTTGGAGCTATAGTTGTGTGTATATAGCTTTGTGTATACGTGAGCTCTGAGCTTAGGGGTGGACTGAGTTCCTACAGAGGATGCTCCTAGATTCGTATGTGGAAAGCACATACCCTGTGCACGATTTAGATGAAAAATAACAGATCTCTTTCCTTTCTTTCACCCTTAAATGACTCACAGCTTGTCATTGCTTTAGGGCTAGGTTACCCCGTACTTCTTTTGGGCTCTGTATCCGTGTCTGACTCCAATACTCATGGGACGCTCCTTGGACGTCACTGCTAGAGTATGCATACATTTATTCAGACGTATAGTTGTGTACTAAATTATATTATTAACGTTTTAGTTTAAAATACTCATCAGGCACTTCTTGGACCGGGCCATTGAACGTATATCTTACACTTGACATCCACTTCTTGCAACTAGCTTGACATGGGTCAGGGTCTTTTCAGCCAATATCAAGTTTAGAAGTATGGTTTTAAAGGATCATTTAGGTATCTAGTTAACAGACGAGGGTTTTTTTAATGTATAATCAACTTAGTAAACATAAAAATGTTGTAGAAATTTTAGTTTTCAGTTTCACAACATGTTTAAAAAAACAAAATTGATCTTAAGTAAATTACTGTTTTCAATTTGCGTGTGTGTATGGGTGTGTTTGACTGTGTGTATGTTTGTGTATGTGTGTATATGTGTGTGTAGCCGCGTCTCCGTAGTTGACCTTTTACAATTTGCCGTGTAGCATAACTTTAGGGCTTAGAGTGTGCTAAAGTGAGAACTGTCCTGAACTTTTATCCATGTGGGGAAAAAAGATCCATTGCCACTTTGCTAGAGTGAACAGGTTATGTTCTATTTTTCACAATATTAAGTAGGGAACATCATTTTTCTATTTATACTCTCTTCATCTTCATTTCCTTTCCAATATTCTCCCTTTATGCTTTCTTCATGTTTGCTTCCTTTCCAATGTCCAAACATGCGCATGCCGCTGGAGAAAATGCAAATATGGATTCCAGTCCTCTATGGCTCACTATTGCATATGTTCCATAAAAGCTTCTGAAACAATAGGAATATACTGAACCTAGATTTGAATACCGAGTGCCTTGTTAGAATATAAAATCATAACCCTGGTTTTTCAATTCCGGCTGTTACATGAGTCCAGGTTTCAGCCCATAGAAAGGGCGGTCAACCTGCGGGTGCATATTAGAATATAAATTACAACTCTCAACTCTCACCATAACTTACCGTAACTTAGGACTTTTGGTGTAGTGGCAGGGTCCTTTGACAGTCCTGTTAAAGATGAGTAGCTGAAAGTATGCTGACAGTGATTGTATGGGTTGTCTTCTTTTCTTTGATTAAAAGCTAACAATTCTTTTTTTTTAATCCTATAATGCTTCTAGGTTGTCGTTTTTAATTGCGGAGGCGTGCTTGCTTGCTGGATCGGTTCAGAATGCATACCACACTCGATACAGGACTCTTTTTGTGGATGATCCTCCATCCTGCCAGACCCTGAGAAAGGGAGTATTTGCTGCTGGTGCTGCCTTTGCCTTCTTCACTGCCATCCTTTCTGAGTTCTACTACATTTCATTCTCCAAAGCCAACAATGCTGGATACGGCAGGGAATCTGCAGTTGGGATGAGCCCTTATAGCTAGAAACATGGTTTCACATTAGCATCATTCTATTTTGCTCTTATAGATCAAAATTTTAACTAATGGGATCAGTACGCAGTATTTCTAGTTTGTTCTCCGTAGACGCATGTACCCATAGATGCATGTATTCAGCACATCATGCTACATGAGACGGTATGTACATTTTGGAGTGTGTTGGCTTTTGAAAAGTATGGTTCTGTTTGTTACTGTTTGGTAGTATAATGCGAATGTTCTCCTTTACAAGACACAAAAAATTGTGTTTTGTTACCAGTTTTTCATGCAAATGTTGTTCTTTTCCTCTAGAGGATTAGGGTGAATTACTTTTCTCTCTCTTTTTATATGGAAGCTTGCATTTCTTTGACATCTACCTGTTGTGCGCGGCGGAAGCTTTTCACGAACAATAACTCGGAGTAAGTCACAACTAATATGCAAACACAACCACAGCAAGAACAAACAATTTACGTGGTTCGACAAGTTGCTTACGTCCACGGGGTAAGGGGGAGGGAGTTCTTACTATTAGAAATCAGAGAATACAAGTAGAGTTACAAATCTCTCAGATCAAACCCTAAAACAAAGCTCTTGATCTCTCACAACTCTCCCACAATTGGATGCAACAATCCTCTCTCAAAGACTGCTCAAATTCGTCCTTACTTAACCCTAACAAATCAGGTTTAGGGTTATATATAACTCAGAAACGAATCGGGTCAAAAACCGAAGCCCAGCCCAGAAATCATCGACAGTCGACCGCGCAGGTCTCGCGAACAATCCTCTCTCAAAGACTGCTCAAATTCGTCCTTACTTAACCCTAACAAATCAGGTTTAGGGTTATATATAACTCAGAAACGAATCGGGTCAAAAACCGAAGCCCAGCCCAGAAATCATCGACAGTCGACCGCGCAGGTCTCGCGCTAGTCTTCGTGCACGTTCACGGTCGACCACGGCGGTCGACCGTCAGTCTGCCTGGCTGGTTTCTTTGCTGTTTCCTGTATTTTTTTAATTCTCCACCTCGGCGAATGTTTTCACCAAAACTGAGCCGTAATTTCTTCAATTCTCCACCTCGGCGAATGTTTCCACCAAAAACTGAGCCGACACCAAATCATCCAATAGTCCCTCAATAAGTCAGGGAACCAATATAGAGCTGAAACGCGATCTCTCCCCCCATCTCAATCAACTGATTAAACTGGCTGCATCTGAAAGACTGCCTCCGTATCCTCTTGCCCAAGGAATCAAGCCAAACGTAGTTCACCCAAATTACCTCCAAAGGCCTCAGCACTGAAGGATGTTCAAAAGCTTTAAACAATGACCAAATTTCACTCCTGAAACAACTTTGGTCAACATATCTGCAAAGTTGTCATTTGTGTAGACCTTCTCCAATATGACGTCTCCATCATCCAACACGTCACGTACAAAGTGGAATCTGACGTCGATGTGCTTCGTGCGCGCATGATAGACTTGGTACCCGAATAGTCTCCTGAGCGATCCCCAAGCCCTCCAATAATCCACGCAACCGTAAAGCCTCCTTAATAGCTTCAGTAACTGCCATATACTCTGCCTCTGTAGTAGAGAGAGCCACTGTGGACTGAAGCGTGCAACGCCAACATACAGGTGCACCTGCCAATGTAAAAGCATAACCTGACGTAGACCGGCGTTTGTCAAGATCTCCAGCATAGTCTGAATCCACATATCCAATACAAGCCTGCCCATCCTTCTCATCCTTCTGAAATACTAAACCAACATCTACGGTGCCTCGAACATACCGTAGAATCCACTTCACAGCCTCCCAATGACCCTTCCCGGGGTCGTGCATGTATCTCGATACCATGCTCACGGCCTGTGATAAATCTAGCCTCGTACACACCATCGCATACATTAAGCTACTTACTGCACTGGCATATAAGACCTTTGACATATAATCTCTGTCCTCAACTGAAACAGGTGACATCAACGCTGAAAGCTTGAAGTGGGGAGCCAATGGTGTGCTAACTGCTTTTGCATTGCCATCAAAGCTGAATTTCTTCAACATCTTCTGCAAGTAGCTCTTCTGTGTAAGCTTCAATTTCCCCTTCACCCTGTCTCGCTCGATCTCCATACCCAATATCTTCTTTGCCTCTCCAAGATCCTTCATCTCAAACTCGGATGATAACTCCTTTTTCAGCTTTCGAATAGCTGAAGAATTCCTGGAAGCAATAAGCATATCATCAACATATAAAAGCAAATATATGAGCTCACCATCCTGTAGCTTGTGCATATAAACACATGGGTCATATGGGCTCCTCGTGTACCCTCGGCCAATCATAAAGCCGTCGAATCTCTTATACCACTGTCTTGGTGACTGCTTCAAACCATAAAGAGACTTCTTCAGCTTACAAACCAAATTTTCCTTTCCTGCAGCTTTGAAACCCTGTGGTTGTGTCATGTAGATCTCCTCATCTAAATCACCGTGTAGAAAGGCTGTCTTCACATCCATCTGGACCAAATCCAAATCCAACTGTACCACCAACGCCAATAAAATCCGAATCGACGAATGCTTCACAACGGGTGAAAATACCTCGTTGTAATCAATGCCCTCAAGCTGTGCATATCCCTTGGCAACTAATCTGGCTTTGAACCGAATGTCCCCAATAGAAGATCCCTCCTTCTTCGCATATACCCACTTGCAACCAATAGCTTTCTTACCCTTAGGTAGATGTGCAAGTGTCCAAGTGTCGTTCTTCTGAAGAGACCGCATCTCCTCCTCCATAGCTTCCCTCCACCTGATCGAATCGGGGCTAGACTCTGCCTCCCTGAATGTGGCTGGAACCATATCATCAACGACCTCCACTGATAATGCATATGCGACCATGACATCATTATACCTAGCTGGCCGACGAATCTCTCTCCTCGGTCTATCTGCTGCAATGGTCCTCTGAACATGACGTCCACGGGGTAAGGGGGAGGGAGTTCTTACTATTAGAAATCAGAGAATACAAGTAGAGTTACAAATCTCTCAGATCAAACCCTAAAACAAAGCTCTTGATCTCTCACAACTCTCCCACAATTGGATGCAACAATCCTCTCTCAAAGACTGCTCAAATTCGTCCTTACTTAACCCTAACAAATCAGGTTTAGGGATATATATAACTTAGAAACGAATCGGGTCAAAAACAGATGCCACATTGTACCCTAACTCATGCATATACTCCCTTTCTTCTGTGGCCAACTCGACCGAATTCGACCCGGTCAAGCTCTTCAATCTTACACCACAAGTTGCAATCAACGGCCTAACATAGGTTTTCTGTCAGGCCAGGCTAATTCTCTGCTTTTTCCTGTAATTCTTCAATTCTTCACCTCAGCGAATGTTTCCATCAAAACCGACACCAAATCCTTCTGTCAGGCTAATTCTCTGCTTTTTCCTGTAATTCTTCAATTCTTCACCTCAGCGAATGTTTCCATCAAAACCGAGCCGACACCAAATCATCCAATAGTCCCTCAACAAGGCAGGGAACCAATCTAGAGCTGAAACGCGATCTCCCCACATCTGAATCAACTGATCAAACCGGCTGTATCTGAAAGACTGCCTACGTATCCTCTTGCCCAAGGAATCGAATCAACTGATCAAACCGGCTGTATCTGAAAGACTGCCTACGTATCCTCTTGCCCAAGGAATCAAGCCAAACGTAGTTCACCCAAATTACCTCCAAAGGCCTCAGCACTGAAGGATGTTCAAAAGCTTCAAACAATGACCAAATTTTACTCCTGAAACAACTTTGGTCAACATATCTGCAGGGTTGTCATTTGTGTGGACCTTCTCCAATATGACGTCTCCATCATCCAAAACGTCTCGTACAAAGTGGAATCTGACGTCGATGTGCTTCGTGCGGGCATGATAGACTTGGTTCTTTGCCAAATAGATAGCCGACATGCTATCATAATATACCCGAATGGTCTCCTGAGCGATCCCCAAGTCCTCCAATAAACCACGCAACCATAAAGCCTCCTTAATAGCTTCAGTTACTGCCATATACTCTGCCTCCGTAGTAGAGAGAGTCATTGTGGACTGAAGCGTGCATCGCCAACATACAGGTGCATCTGCCAATGTAAAAGCATAACCTGAATTAGATTGGCGCTTGTCAAGATCTCCAGCATAATCTGAATCCACATATCCAATATAATCCTGCCCATTCTTCTCATCCTTCTGGAATACTAAACCAACATCCACGGTGCCTCGAACATACCGTAGAATCCACTTCACGGCCTCCCAATGACCCTTCCCGGGGTCGTGCATGTATCTCGATACCATGCTCACGGCCTGTGACAAATCTGGTCTTGTACACACCATCGCATACATCAAGCTACCTACTGCACTGGCATATGAGACTTTCGACATATAATCTCTGTTCTCAACTGAAACAGGTGACATCAATGCTGAAAGCTTGAAGTGGGGAGCCAATGGTGTGCTAACTGCTTTTGCATTGCCGTCAAAGCTGAATTTTTTCAACATCTTCTGCAAGTAGCTCTTCTGTGTAAGTTTCAAGCTCCATTTCACCCTGTCTCTCTCGATCTTCATACCCAATATCTTCTTTGCCTCTCCAAGATCCTTCATCTCAAACTCGGATGATAGCTCCTCTTTCAGCTTTCGAATAGCAGAAGAATTCCTGGAAGCAATAAGCATATCGTCAACATATAAAAGCAAATATATGTGCTCACCATCATGTAGCTTGTGCATATAAACACATGGGTCATATGGGCTCCTCGTGTACCCTCGGCCAATCATAAAGCCGTCGAATCTCTTATACCACTGTCTTGGTGACTGCTTCAAACCATAAAGAGACTTCTTCAGCTTACAAACCAAATCTTCCTTTCCTGTAGCTTTGAAACCATGGGGTTGTGTCATGTAGATCTCCTCATCTAAATCACTGTGTAGAAAGGCTGTCTTCACATCCATCTGGACCAAATCCAAATCCAACTATACCACCAACGCCAATAAAATCCGTATAGACGAATGCTTCACAACGGGTGAAAATACCTCGTTGTAATCAATGCCCTCAAGCTGTGCATATCCTTTGGCAACCAATCTGACTTTGAACCTTATGTCCCCAATAAAAGATCACTCCTTCTTCGCATATACCCACTTACAACCGATAGCTTTCTTACCCTTAGGTAGATGTGAAAGTGTCCAAGTATCGTTCTTCTGAAGAGACCGCATCTCCTCTTCCATAACTTCCCTCCACCTAATCGAATCGGGGCTAGACTCTGCCTCCCTGAATGTGGTTGGAACCATATCATCAACGACCTCCACTGATAATGAATATGCGACCATGACATCATTATACCTAGCTGGCCGACGAATCTCTCTCCTCGGTCTATCTGCTGCAATGGACCCCTGAACATGACCATGTTCATGAGTCTCATAGTCCACTATATCCTCTATCTGCCCAGCTGTCATCTCATCTCCTCCCAGTGTCACCTCTGTAGGAGCCTCAATTGATACAGTGTTCTCTGGAGTGGGTGGAGTCACATCATCCTCCATCTGCTGCGATATCTCTCCTGTCTGGTCTCCCTCCACCTGCTGAGGGGCTCGAGGCCTCATCATGTACGCCTCGTCAAATGTGACATCTCTGCTAATAGCTATCTTCTTGTCCTGTGGATCCCATAACTTGAAGCTTTTGACTCCATCTCTAAATCCCACAAAGACTGTTTTCCTCGCTCTCGGATTTAATTTACCATCACTGATATGATAATAAGCTGGACACCTGAATATCCGAAGCGACTCATAGTCACTAGCCACCGAACCAAACCAACGGTTCATTAAAATAAAATAGTCAAGCCTAGACGAAGAAATGAGGAGTCATCAGTACGGGAAAAAGAAGATGAGTTTGCGCTTAACCTTAACCGATGAAAGCTGCTCTCCCCTAAAGCGCCGGGGGATAGCTAAAGGTAACAGGGTTCCCGAAAGGGGGCGAAGTCCGGTACTAATTAACGGAAGGAAGAAGGCAACTCGAGCTCTTTTCTTTCAGAACCTTATTGACCAAGAACTCTATACCTTAGGGGGCGAGGTTACGGTACTGAAAAGCCTGATCTTCTTGCTTAAAAGACTTAGCTGTCAAGCTATAGGTATAGGGCGATAGATCGCTTTCTCGGCATTCAACAACGATATGCTTTATCCGGTGATTCAACCCTCGCTACACTTCTTGAGAAAAGCTGTAAATCCTATCTCTTCGCCAGAGAAGTATACGGGGAAGTCTGGGGATACTATTTGAAATCTCTTTGTCAACTCTTAGCTCTCAATCGCCGAGGGCTTATTTTCGAGGAAGTGGAATCCCTCGACTCTGGAAATGACGTAGAATACGGAAAGATAACTGAAATCTATCTTTTCTTTGATTTATTCCGAAATTTACCAAACCGGCATCTCCAGTGTCACCACCAGTGCACTTCCTTTTTTGCTATGTGGTAATTGACCAGTTCCCCTGTCGGGTACATCTGGGAGCTTCCCAAGTACACAGTGCTCACACAGCTCCATCTTGCAGGTCTTAGCACCTTTCAATAGCCCATGTTTTGTCAATGACTGTAGGGACTTATCACCTGTGTGTCCAAGTCTCATGTGCCATAAGGTGGTAGTGTCCTCCTCTGTAGTGATAGAAGCTGCCAGACCCCCTGTAACTGTCTTGCCCTTCAAGTGGTATAGGTTGTTTTCCCTGACTCCTCGCATCACCACCATAGAACCATTCGTGACCTTCACTATAGCATCCTCTAAGATCACTCGATATCCTGCTGCCTCTAAAGTCCCAAGAGAAATGATGTTCTTCGTCAACTGCGGCACGAACCTCACTTCCTTCAATTTCCTCACTACACCATCATGCATCCTAATCCGGACTGAACTAATACCACCAATAGGGCATATGCGATCATTACCCATAAGCACGACATCCCCTCTTTCCAGCTCCTCAAAGCTAGAAAACCGTTCCCTCTTAGGACAGATGTGATATGTAGCTCCCGAATCCATCATCCACTCTGTGGAATCCGCATAGCAAACCGACGGTAAAGCAGGGCATGAATAGCCTGAAGAATCTGAATCTGAATGCTCACCAATAGCTTTTGCAACATTCACCTCTGAAGCTTGTGCAGCTTTCTCCTTATTCTTCCCGGCTTTTTCTTTCCACTTTGGGCAGTCAATCTTCCAATGTCCTTCTTCTTTACAATACCGACATTGATTTCTACCAACACTCTTATAAGCACTCATATTCCTTGATTTTGAGCGGTTGAACTGGCGACGGTTTGGATCTCGGCCTCGAACTGCTAACGCATCTCCCGATGCCTTCTCGGAGGGTTCACCATCACTCTTCCTCAACTCATAGTTCACCAAAGCTGAGGTCACCTCCTTGTAGCTAACTGTAGTTCTTCCATTGATCATAGTGAGAACGAACGTACCATAATCATCTTCGAGCAACGAACATAGAAGTAGCATCGCCTTGTCTTCATCCTCAACTATAATGTCCACATTGGCCATATCTGAAAGTAGCTTAGTGAAGTTGTTAACATGCTCCCTGATGGAAACCCCCCTCTTCATCTTGAACTGGTAAAATCTCTTCTTCAAGTGAAGCCGATTCTCAATGCTCTTCGTAAGATATTTCTCATTGAGTGTTTCCCACATCTTCTTCGCCGACGTCTCGTTCATGACATCATAAATAAGATCCGGCGTCAAGCATGACCTAATAACACCACAAGCTCTACTGTTCATCTTCCTTCAAACCTTATCCTCCATCTCTGCGGATTTCTCTTTTAACTCAAGAGTCTCCTTCAAATTCTGTGCATCCAATGCATCCATCACCTGACACCTTTACAATCCAAAATTGATCTTGCCATCGAACTTAGGAACATCAATCTTCATGTTATTGATGCTCATACTCTGTATCACCTTTGTTAGAGACGAACTTGATGTGCTTGCATCTCCCATGTTGTCGATCTAGCTCTGATACCAATTGTTGTGCGCGGCGGAAGCTTTTCTTGTGCAATCACGAACAATAACTCGAACTAAGTCACAACTAATATGCAAACACGCGGCGGAAGCTTTTCTTGTGCAATCACGAACAATAACTCGAACTAAGTCACAACTAATATGCAAACACAACAACAGCAAGAACAAACAATTTACGTGGTTCGGCAAGTTGCCTACGTCCACGGGGCAAGGGGGAGGGAGTTCTTACTATTAGAAATCAGGGAATACAAGTAGAGTTACTAATCTCTCAGATCAAACCCTAAAACAAAGCTCTTGATCTCTCACAACTCTCCAACAATTGGATGCAACAATCCTCTCTCAAAGACTACTCAAATTCGTCCTTGCTTAACCCTAACAAATCAGGTTTAGGGTTATATATAACTCAGAAACGAATCAGGTCAAAAACCGAAGCCCAGCCCAGAAATCATCGGCGGTCGACCGCGCAGGTCTCGCGGTCGCCCGCACCGGTCGACCGAATCATCAAACCCGAGAG